AGAGAGAGAGAGAGAGAGAGAGAGAGAGATACGGAGTAAGGAGTTTAGAACTACTGTAAACTCCTTGATACGGAGAGACCAAGGATCTTACAACAAACATGTAGGATTGTAGGCTAACATCCTTGGGAGAGACAGAGAGAGGGAAAGAGGTAACCGTTCGACCAATCAGAATCATGCGAATAATTTTATTCCCACCGCTGTAACCAATCAGATCCAGCTGTAGTGTTACACTCCCGAGCTTTCGCGGGGAGGCCACTGTGATCAACTGGTGTTGCTAGCAGACTGCGCACGACGCAGCATCAACATTCATCGTTTCGTGGGGACAGTGGAGTGCTGCGTTCAAGATGCCGCTCTGCGTACCAGCGTTTTCTTCGGGGAATGTCAAGCTCAAGTGTGACCAAAGTTCTTTTCTTTAGTTCTTGGTACAAAATGTGGTGCTGTGTCACTTTTTTCGATGGATAATTTTATTACATTTGTGTTGAAGTGGTAAATGATATAATACAGTAAAATGATGCTACTGCTGCGTTTAGGCAGTTAGCGTTATTTGAGGCGGTATTTTACTCCTCTAATTATTATTTTATTTACTCGCGTCCCCGGGTTCCCGAGGAAACACTCAGTGCTGTTAGAATTCGTGCTTTTTTCTACGTGTTCGACACTTTCACTCTCAAGATATAATACCAATTAGACCTACATCAGAGCAAAGATATGTTGTGTTTCTTGGAGGAAAATTGTTCTGAGTGGTCAAGTCGTGAAGAATTCAACACGGGTACCGTAATAATGTCATTATTATGATAATGTTTCTGTTTGAGTTGAAATTACAAGAAGCGTTTTGAAAGTGACAAGGAAAATTCCCTTTTCAATCGATTAGTTTCTTGGAAGAATCTGAAAATGCCTGGAATAGTTGTATTTCGCAGACGTTGGTCTGTCGGATCCGACGACCTCGTCGTTCCCATGATATTCATGATTGCTGTACATGTGAGCTGGTAAGTTACTTAGCTTCTCCCACTTACGCATTAGTTTTATGATTATTCTATAAGAGTCTATTTTGATCATATTGTGCATGTCACTTTGGGTTAAGGGCACGTGTCTCTTATGAAACGTGTTCGTTTGCTTTGGTCGATCTAGATATAAACATCGTGCTCGGTTAAATTTTAAGGTTTTTCCCATATATATATATATATATATAT